TAGTTGCCATGATTCCCAGCATCAGACAGTGGACTTGGTACATTCTCAAACGTTTCGCCGGCATCGTAGTTGGCATTATCAATGAGTTTTGTCATTCTCCGCACCAAGCGCGAACTCGTCAAAGAAACAAGTGAAGTTAATCCTTCCACCAACGTTCTGCCAAAAACAGTTACACTTCCGCCCTATCACAACCTACGATTTGTTTACATTCCACTCGTCAAAATGTGTGCCCTTTTGTGGCAAATATTGTGTGACCTCATCACACCTGCTATTCACCTGCTATGACAACTACTATGGCAGACGACTTCGGGCAAGATTCGTTCTACTAAATCGCCATGACAACAAGACCAAGTTGCGACAACGAGGTCAACCCACCTCTATAAGGACTGATAGATAAGTTTTCCGAAAATGACATGATTAGGCCAAGTCTATGTAATTGAATGGACTAGACAGATCCCCACCATACTCATCAACCAATATCCAATCCAACTGCGGGTGTTGATGAGATCTAGGCGAGGCCGAAAATGCAGTCCAGGCTATTTGGGAAGCAAGGATAAGCAAACTTCAATTGGTACCACGGGGTCTATACATTTGATTTTTAGGAAAACTCTACTATCAGTCCTTAAGTCACCTTAAGTGAAAACGACGTATATCGAAACGAAAACTGTTCAATCCCAACTCAATGAGGTCATCCCGCCAGACTGGTGGTCCAGGCGACAGTTCAAGCATGTCTGACAATATTTTAATTGTTAGGGCAACTGATATGACTAGGGCGATATTGTCTGGAGCTGAGAGGGCAGAACAGGCATCAGAACGAAGCGTGAATGTTGCTGGGAGTGGCGGCTGAGTCCGATCCGAGTGGCAGTTGATCAAGCACCCCAACACCAGGACAGACACCACCGCAGAATCGGCAGCCCTGGAGGCAACCTGAACAGACGTCGGCCAGCCTTAGAGCAAAATAGTCGTAGGCATCAGCCAGCCGACCCTCGGGAAGGGCTGTAAAGCCCTCCAGCTCCGGTATTGCTCTTGATCCTGACTCAAAGCTT